CTTATAATTTCTCAGAGGATTCAAATGTTGATTAGTAACACTAAGTGCCATTAAACAAATAGGATATTTTCTATTCTATTTCAAAATGTTTTACTTAAAAAAGAAAAAAATTAAGAAAAGGAAATGGCAAATTTTCAAGAAATTAAAAAAAACTTAAATAATTGTGTGCTCCACAATTCCATTTACCATTCATATATTAATTTGATTTACTTCATGAATTCGGAAACGTGATTCCGCGCACTCAAAGAGAGAATTGCGAACTCCGAACAAAAATTAAACCTTTCGTAGAGACCTCTATTAACCATGCATTCAGAAGCAAAAAGTTAAGAATAATTCTGCAAAATGAAAAAATGTGAATCACGGATTATTAAACAATTTTAAAGAAAGAATTCATTTTCCAATGTGTTTTTGGACTTTTTACGAATTAATAATTTAAAGTAACGTCTAGCTTAATGGCATGAGTCGATTAAAGAATTCAGAAAGTGATCCAACAACAAGGTACCTGGTGTTTTCTCCCTAGTTATTCTACAGGCCATGCCTACTATTTACCATCACCAATCTTCCCTACGCCAATAAAATGGAGAAAGAAGGAGACTGTGACAAAAAAGCTTATTAGCTTATTAATTAATGCATTAATTTTACCGAAATATTTACAAACTGAGTTAAGGTGTTTGTTTCTTTCTATATAATTACAAGAATCCAATGTGTTGTCTGTAAACGCTTTAAGCATAGATGAAATACTAATCAACTTAATGGTTGTGTCATCATCTTCTAAAGTGCATTCCTACCACTTATGCGTCACTATTCTGGCCTCAATGTGGCTTTATATAAATTTGCACTTGATTCATATTATTCATTTCCGCTTGGTTTATGCTTTTTACGGGAGAAAAAGATTTAATCAAAATCATTTATAATCTGTTGCGATAGTTCATTATTGCGGATTTCAATAGTTTGCTTATTGTGAACTGTAGCTGCAGCCGTTGGTGTATCGGAAGATAAAAAAATTTGCTATACCAGGTTTATATCTTCGGCGAAATCAACTGAAATGACTGAAACTGACCTAACTCTTTAAAGAAAGATTTGCCCAAGCTTTGAGAGCTATTGTGCCTAGGAAACAGTAACATGAACATGGGGCAAACGTAAACCATGAGAAAGCTGACTTAGTTTCCTGCCAACTACCTTCGGACTCAGGTAATGCATAGGATGAAAAACTAAGCGTTTTCCCATTGGCCGAGAAATGTTACGCTTATCGATAGAAGCAGAAACATTGGATAATTAGTCAATGCAAGACAGAAAAGAAGGTCATTGCATATTTCGTAAATACTATTACATAATAAACATGCTTTATTCAACCACAGTTGCAATTTTGTGCCGATATATGTTTTTTTGTACCGGAGCACCACCCAAATTTCATTCTGGCTTTAGCATTATAGTGAAGTGTAGTTGTCAAATACTTCCGGATTAACCGGGGTTTTTTAGCAGGGATGACTGATGCGAATTCTTTGAGTTATTTTAATTCAATCACCAAGAACGTAAATAGAGCTAGTGGTGTATAATCGTGAACTGAAATTTGACATTTACTTAAACTTATCTCACCAGACAGCAGGTGATGTTTTAGAAGTAGTCATGGGAAGATTTATTTTGTTCAACCGTAAGATATCTGACCAACTTATCATTTGATTAGACAATAACATACAAGTGTCATCGATATATTTTCGAAAATTCCAATAATTTATATTGGTGGTTCAGCAAAAGTTGTCCCTTTTATCGTCAATCGTCAAAATACATCCTAGATAAAGGAAGCTAATGGTTGGTCCAAAATAATCAGAATTGATACGAGAGATAACCACGGGCACCTATTTTTTTATTATCACTGACAGTGTTATCATGTGGCATAAGTCAGATAAGAAAATGAAATTAATTTGTCACTATTATTATTTCCTTAAACGAAAGTGAAATTGAATGAACATCTAATCGCTGTAAGATGTATTGAAACCATTGAAATTTGGGAAATTGCCATTTGAGAGGCCTATCAGTCTTAGTTGGGGAACAACACGACATCACAAAGGTTATAACAAGTGGAAGGACTTTGACCCTTTGAAAACTCAATTCCTACAACAACAGAAGTTGTACAAAGGGGCATTTGGAGGAGCGAAGTGGCATTTGAATAACTGAGGGGTAAGGGGACTAGCAGAAATATCAGCAGTCTAATAAAAGCAGTTACACGACAATCGAAGGTATTTGAGTGGTGGCCAAATTTAGCGCGCTTAAAATAACGCCTTAACTGAGCAGCCATCTGAAAAGTAGTGGTGAGAAGGTAATGAACTGTCTTCAAGAAGTAAAATGACACTCTCGAACACTAAACGTAAAACGAATGCTACCTTTGCAAGACGAGATAAAGCTATTATATTAAAAGTACCGAAATTTCTAAAGTTGATTGAATCGAAATTCTTTGAATTTTAATGGCTCTATCATACACATAAAAATAAGAAGAATTTATATTTATTGGAACAAAATTCTAACTGAAATTGTCCAGTAGGGAATGACGAAGGTGAAAATGAGAACACTTAAAGAGTTCAACGGTAATTGAGCTCTATTGCCATATCGATGCGTACTTTTATTTGATCATGCTATATTCTCCTCACTTCTCTACCATTGAGTCTCTGGATAAGCTCAAGTCAACGATGTTCAAAACTTATCAACCCACTTGACCGTCTTAATAACCCTCAAGTTAAGGATTTGAAATCTCGCTTGACAGTAAACATTGCCTTCTTGTGACTTAACCATAACAATTTTCTCTGTATTTCATTCAGCATGAAATAGAACGAATAACGTGAAGTCAAACATTTGAGTGCCATTTTTCAATTTATGGTTTCGAATTAATTTTAGTTAATTTAATTTTCTCAGTTTAAATAGCGTCTTTTATAAAATGCAAATTGGATTTTATACCTACTTATGGTGTGTTAGCTATTTCAGATCAAGTGGTAATTTGTCTAATGAATTAAGCTTTTTTTGCTATCTTACCTATCATTGGAATTCAACATGTTGGCTACATCACGGTGATATAGGTGACTAAATCAAGAGTTATTTCACAGACAGCATTTTTTGTTGTGGCTGAATAGTCATCACTGTTGGGTGTGTTAGTAAAATGCCCCTATTGTGAAATATTCCACTTTTACGAGGAATAATAAGGCACTCTGAGAAAGAACTTTGACAACCTGTTGCCAAATGGTGAGACTGGATAAAATCTGAGGTTCTAGTTTCAATGCAAAGGAGGGAGAAATCATGGAGAAACATGCTAGAGAGGTCTGCATTCGCACGCTTTCTGGATAAGTAACTAGTCCCTGTGCACACACACACACACACCCCGGTAGAGAAGATGGGTGAATTAATGGATGGACGGGGAGAGTGGCATGACTAAAAAATGGGACAAGAGAGAGGCTCTTAGTAGGATAAATTCCAGAATCGAGGCACGTTTTTTGCCAAAGTCAAGAATTGGAAAACACTTTCATAAATTTAAGGAGTGGAACATTTTTCCCTGTGAACATGGGAAGTACCTTCCACCCATTCATTAGTAAGGAATTACGCATTCAAGATGATAAATTTACGATGAAATAGACGAAGCAACTCCTGTTTGCACATTATTTCGAAATAGGTGGAGTGGCTAAATCGATTGCATTCATATTTATGTTTCAAGCCCAAATTGATTTTTGAAACTTACGATTAATGTTAAAGCGCCATATACCTTTACAACTGATGAAAGGATCATCTAATTATTTTAAGTTTCACGGCTTCATTTTGTTTAAACAATGATTAACAAAAACCTGTAATGCAATAAGATGTGAAACTATGAAGATAAACCATTATAACCTGCTGTTTGGTAATTAAAATAAAAGGTCAAAATAGTGCCTGTTTTGAAAGATTTGAATCTTCAAAAAGAGGCTCTGTATTGACTATATTTTTAGGTGAAAATATGCTAATTAAGAATGACATCTCAAGGTTATCGCAATCAAATGTTGTTTTTTTAGCATTCTTGTTGAAATTAGTAGTTCCTCTTTGGCTAAGAATAGCATTAAAGAATCTTGTTCATTTGGTAGGATGCCAATGAGTAAAAGAGAACCATTCTTCCTAGATCATGGTAATCTATTTCTTTGGGTTAATAATACTTGTCTTTTATTGATTGGGTAAAAGTATGCCCAATTATAAATGAAGGATAAGCCAAGCATCATATTTTAAATAATAAATAGAAATATAATAATGGAATCTAGAAGAATGGCTTGACGTGGTGGCAAAAGGAGGTAACTACTAAATTACATATTTATTTATTTTAAGCAGATCATCTTTGTCCTTTTTCCCTCTCTTACGCTCTTACTAAGAAATATAGATGGGTAGATAGGACTTCGATACACCCGATAGAGAATAATGAGAAGATAAAAAAGTAAAAAAAAGGAAGTGGAAAAGTATACCCACCTCATTAATCCAATAAAGCTTTAAGTCTGGACGGCCTATGGCGGAGCATTTCAGACTGACTGGACCATTCACCACCGATTCGAGTTGGGCTGGCAAGGGGGTGATAACCGGAGGCTCTATTGGTTAGAAATTTATATTAGAAAAATAAAGCAAGTAAACAATTTCAGTATCTACATTGGAAGATATATTAAGATTTACCATAGGCTATCAAACAGATGTAAATATTATTCAGTAACTAAACGTTAAATTAGTGTTTATATTCAGAGATAAAAAGCGCTGTAAATGTAAGTTTTTGAATAAACGACCACCAAAGTAAAGTTCAATTAAAATACCAAGAGTGTAAAGCTATTTAGCAATATCATAGAGGGGACGATATTTATAGCATTAGTAATTCAAAAGTTCCATTATCTTAATTTTAAAGTCGAAATACCAAGGAAGCGCAATTTAATATTACAATTTATATTAATTATCGTAGGGACTCAAAATCAATATTAAAATTGAAAAGTTATAAAAATCAAGACAATAATTGACTAACCATATATTTTAACAGTAATTTTTTCAGTGGCAATAATAGTCCCAAGACCCATTTCATCGATGAGATCGCATTTGAATTGAAGATTGCTATCGGAAAGATCAGCACCTGGTTGATCCTTCTCAATGCATAGCGTTTCCACTTGTTCAGATTTGTCAATCATATAGTAACCAGGGTGCGAATCAAAGAAAGCACGGCTATTAGCGTCGACTTGCTTATATATCATCATCATCCTGGAAAGACTACGTAGTCTTGTAAGTTCATGACTCAAAACCAAGGCTTGATTTTCTAGAAAGTAAGCATTTTTAGATTATATCAAGTTTTAACTGAATTGAAAAAAAGCAATTTAATAGTTAAAACCTTTTGAAAGCTCAAATAAACCTACTAACCATCTAGATTTAATTCACAGCAGAATTTGATTTTCTCTCCCGTTTTTACGTAAACATCTCGGTCTAAATATTTGATTTAATGAAAAAATACGAAATACCCTTCGTTTCATTTCCGAAACACGTTGTAAATAATGAAAAATACAATATCAATAAAGAAAGCATTTTTGGGAAGCAGTTGGTCCAATAGTCAAATTTTTGCCTAAAATTAACGAGCACTCAAATGGCCTTAAAACTAAACTATATTAATATATATGAAACATTTAAACAAATATGTTGAAAATCCTAAATGCATGTCTAATTTTGTTTTTGCAGCATAATATACAAATAATTTTTTCAGTGAACTTAATTTTTAATTTTAGTTATATGTTTATCATGATATTTCGAATTAGCATTCTGCTTGACTCTTAAGTATATTTAAAAAAATACCGAGTCTAATTCACTTACTAACGTAAGATAGCTGATTTCAAACGATTAAAAATCGAAATACCGTGTAATTTGCACTAGTTTTTTATCACTTTACCTAGGTTGCTCATAATTAACAATTTTAACCTTCTCAGCACTTAAAATAAATGGAAGAATTGCACGTAAATAAAAGATTATATATAATTCAATAACAATTACACTGCATCAAAATGTTTAAGTTGCCATTTTTCACTGACAAAGTACACAGTTTTAATTTGCTCTGGTGTTCCGATTTTCAAAATTCAGTATTTTATTCCTGTGTGGCCATTTGAGGTCCCTTCTAATAGGTGGATTTACTTGCCAACTGAAGAGGTAATGTGGCCATTTGTCCTATGCCTGTATATTTATCATTCGCAAATTTTCACTATTAGTTAGTTGGTCTCAACGAAATGGTTGACACCTAGAAAGCAATCCGTATGATGCCATTTCTTGTATTGTTGATGCGGATGATATGGACCTCTGTCTTCCAAATTTTGCCAGACGTCCAATAAATCTCCACTCGCTTGAATCCTAATTTTATGTAACGGTTTTAGTTATCTTAAACGAATTATGAGCAAAGTTATCGTTCTAGTGCTTTTGAAATCAAAATATGGTTATGATAGTGCTAATCGTCATATTTCCTGCTAATAACTGCGAATATATATATATATATATATAAATAACAACAATGAGTAGGATCGACGCTAACATAAACCTTTCATCTATTGTTTTCATGAAACTCTTAGAAAATATGAACCTTAATTTATTCGTTTTTAACCATTTTCGTCCCAGTACCGCGTTTACTATTAATAATAGATTAAAATCTGCCGGTTGAGAACGATAGTTTCGCTATCAAGAATCCTGGCCAAAGAGATCTAGGTATATACTTAAAATTCACTTTGACTGACTGAGATGCCATGGAGAAAGGCTTGCAGCTGCTTGGCAAGTAATCTTCGAATCTTTCTTACAATTTTAGTAACTTGTCCTATTCCGGCGATGCTGTGCTACCTCATCATATCATAGTCGCACGAATGAATGGGCATTATGGGCACCAAAACGTTGCATTGCATCCATTAAATTAATTGTAAATCCGACTTTTCGGGTATAAGTTGCTCTATCATAAATCTATGAAACCAAAATACTGATAAGGTCCTTATCTCTAAAATAAAATACATGCTACAAGGTGATTTATCATTTATCTATTTCAAATGGTAGGCGCTTTGATAGTCATCATTAGCCCTTTAGCTGACTTCGGGCTTCATAGAGAGGGGAGACATCAAAGTGGCAAAAAAGTCGAGAGGGGGGGGGACAGAATAATGATTCACAGATGTAAAAGAGACACAGACACAAAAGCAGGGAAAAAGTAAAATGAGTACTGTAGAAGTGGGGTCATGGTCGTTAGAAGTCAGAAGTCAACTGCCGGTTAATAGACTTTTGCCGCGTGAGTATACGTTGCCCAGGGTGCACCATATGGAGGTAAGTCCATCGCACACCCAAGGTGACTTATCATTCTTGTCGGGATATAGTCTAATGAGTAAAGGCGACTTGTTAGAGCTACATTTTAACCACAAAAACTGTCTTCAGGAACAGTTACCTCTCTTCATCCTATTTTCATTAAAAGCGCCTTTTGGGGGGAGGGGGAATGGGCTTTTCAAAGATTTTTAATTTCATTAAGCTAAGTTAACGTACTTTGCCTCTCTACTTATATTAGATTTGGTGTTTGTATCATAGCAACCACTATGGTGTTTGTAATTAAATTTAGAAATTTTTCGATTATATATAGCTTCACACCACTCCCTTCAAATTTTGCCCACTGTCATACAGTATCAATCGGATGGAAGTGTTTATCCTAAATTATTTCTTTAAAAGGTATTGTTAGTCGTGTCGTGACACAAGGATATATATTCGGCTATTGAAATGACTAGTTATGAATATTAGGGTAACTTAGATGTAACTTGTTTGCCATCTTGGAGAAAATGTCCTTTGTTAACTAAGTTTACCAGATTGAATGGTAACGAAAAATTCAATTTTTATGGACATACTGATATTATTATAAACCAGTGTACTCTTTTACATTTTCATGCCGTTATAGCACTTCTAGGGCTGCTGACCCTGATGTATCGTGTAAATGGCAGGTTGGTGAGAGTTTTGTGGGGAGGGGGGGGGGGCACAGTACTAACATGGCTGAACCATAGAACCATAGATGGAGCATTTGAAAAGAGCAGCGCACAACATATCCCGAAGTCATCAGAAATCTCTCACCCAATCAACAATCAACTGCGTTTAATGACTTAGCTCTGTCTTAAATACTCACCTCAAATTAACGTGTTCCATCTCATATGTCCAAAATATGGAATTTTGCCACAGAGATTACTGAGCGTAAGTGTACCAATCCGCGTCTGTTTTAGGCAACGGTTCTTCCTGAGTATCTCCGTCGTCTCAGATGCTCAATTTAAATGATGGTAAAATAACAAGAATGGGAACTTATAACTTTCTGTAATTTCCCCCCTTCTCCAATATTTGATTATTTTCAAGGGTCTGTAGCCACTGTTTTATTCATTTTTTAGTTATGAAAAGAAAATATTGAAAAGGGAACAACTAATAAGGAAGATGTCCCGCCATACAGTACTTACTTCTTCCTTCGCATGCTGCAGTAAATAATTGCTCGTTTCACGGAATAGGCGTAAATGCGCTCAATGTATTTTCTGTCAATTTTGCCCCAAAGGCAATTGCTTGATATTTATAAAGACAAGTAATTTACCGATATAGGATTGGATATGGGCAAATGCTTGGCTGTTTGACTGGCGTTATCGATAAATGTAAACTAGGTGTGAGCGTGAAATCTATCGATTTGGTAATTCACTGCAAGAGAGATGGAAATTGAAAGTTTCTTTCTAGTGAATAGATTTCATACGACCTTGCCACTTAAACATTCTTTTGTAATATCGATCAATTCTTTATAGCCTCTATTGAAATAGAAACAGGGCGAAGGAACAGTTCAATTTCCATTTTGAGAAAAATAAAAATGAATTATTAATTTGATGACGAAATGTGTTAGCAACACTTAGCTTTTTTAAGTAAAGAGAGCAGCCTCTAATCAGAATCAAGACATCATTGATGTAGCAGACGCTTTATTTTTGGAAGGAGAGAACGTATTCATAATATTATTGGCTGTCTGGTTAGCCAATAATCTTGCGGCGAGCTATCACAGGTGGTCTGAAAATGCGGGTAAACATGGGAATCCACTAATCAATAGGCCAATGTACGTGAGCTTTAACTTGCTGGCTCACATTGTGTTTACTGAAAATATCTATTTAGATTTTAAATATTAATATCTGACTCATTCCCAAGATTAAAAGTACTTTCTTTGTTAAATAATGCTGACTAATGAATGATATTAGGCTCTTATGATTAAATTACGCAGGTCCATTATTTACTTTGATTATCTAATTGCAGTGATGAATGCGTTTGTAGTTATTTCCTTAGCAAAGTTCCCTTCAAGAACTTTAGCTGAATCTCAACTATCATCTGCTGATTTCTAATTTTCAGTTCGATTATAGATTGCGTTTACACGGCGAATGCTCATTTATTTTGCATAATTTTCTACATCATAGAATAGCTTTAAAAGAATCGCAATAAGTATAGCACAAGTGCGTTGAAAGAACATTTTTTGGTTTGTCAATGATATTTTTGAAATCGAGACCTCCGTTCTCCCAAAGACAAACTTGAGACGTGAAGCTGTTTGCTTCCATATCTGGTAACAAGTTCGAGTCTGCCCGACACATTGTAACTTCAAGGCGTCTAACAATGGCATGGTTTCCAAAACTTAAGAAGTGATTCTGTGGCAGATTGGTACGCGAATGTGCCTTGACTTATCCTCACCAATCTCCACGGCAAAATCCCCTATTATAGAACGACTCCCGAAGTTTGCCAACCTAACCCAACAATATCGATGAAACAGATCGAACGAAGGAGTGGAATGCATTTCTGGAGGTCACGGTGTTTGTGGTTAGGATGTATGTGGTGTGTTGTGTTATTGTATTTGCTGAGTGAGGACACTGGTGCAGTGCTTAGTCATCAAATGCGCTTTTTCGTACGATGATCCAGTAATGAATATTGATTGCTGTTTGGGTGAGAGGTCTCTGTGCTCGCGATCTCATTTGCTCCAAACGCAAACAGCAGCAAGGCTGAACATTTCATAGTTTTCAAGCCCACATGAGATTGCATGAGATTAACAGTATTAGGGCTGTGTACTCAATGGAATGAAAGCCTTTCATTCGAAAATATGGCAGTGCTTTCTTCACTCCATTAGGTTTCTTTCTCGTAGCCCCATTTCAGCCGCTTCCAGAATTTTTGCCATTCTTCGTGTTCGGATGCTATCTAATGATTATGACTTGTTAAA